AACCCCTAAAGCCCTAAACCCCTAAACCCCTAAACCCCTAAAGCCCCAAAACCCCTAAAGCCCCTAAACCCCTAAAACCCCTAAACCCTAAACCCTAAACCCCTAAAGCCCCTAAACCCCTAAAACCCTCAAAAGGGAGGCTTGAGACGAGCCTTCAGGTCCCAGGCTGCCGAACGTGAGCACCGAAGCTCGAAGCATCAGGAATGGCCCGTAGCTGCGGGCACGACAGTTTGGGTTTAGGGCTTTAGGGTTTCAGGGTTTAGGGTTTAGGATTTAGGGTTTCAGGGTTAAGGGTTTTAGGGTTTTAGGATTTGGGGTTTAGAGTTTTAGGGTTTTAGGATTTAGGGTTTAGGGTTTAGGGAATACCGTCGAACCCCAAACTTGTAGCGCTGACCCCAACGTCCTTCATTCTCAGCCCTTGAGCCGGAGTCCCAACACCCTCTAGCTCTCATAGTAACCATACCAAAGGAACACGAAAAGGAACTCCTTGAATGCCCTAAAAACTAAACCCTAAACCCCAAACCCTAAGCTCCTTGCATGCCCTAAAACTTATAAAGCTTAGCCTCCGCCGAGGTGGCCGAGTGTCCGATCGAGGGCTTCAGTATCGGACACAAGCTCAGCTCCGAAACGAAGCTCGGCCGGATCTCTAGAAACAGTCAGTTTGCTACGTTCCGTAGCGAATTTCTGGGTTGAGCTTTTTGCGTTTTAAGTTCGAGGTGAGGGTTACTCGTGAAGATAAGCCAAGCATCCGGAGGGTTGGGCTCGAGCTCTTCCACAAGCCGCGCTTTCAGTGCCAAACCCTGGCTCGCTTTAGACTCCGGCTGGGCTCTGCAAGCATTGGCGTGGAGATGCAAGCAACGCCGGTTCACTCCTACCCGAAACCCAAAGGCCCGAGCCCTGATAAGCTTTGGCTTCCTAAGGAGATGTCTCAAGGCATTGTTGCACCCTGGCGATCGGAACGTCGGAGTCTTACTTCGATTCTGGGTGAGTGAGCTTGATCAAACCGGGCTCCTTTGAAGCCCTAAGCCCTAAAACCCTGTAAACCCCAAACCCTAAGCCCTTTCATTGAAGATCCTTGTATAACTCGGCTCTTGGACCTAGCGGCCCTTGGCCGAATAATCACGTCGAAAACGAGACCCTGAAGGAGGATGTAGGGTAGTTTGTAGTGTCGCCTTGTGTTGTTCATGTGTAGCTCTGGCCTTTGTCCGTGGTCGCTGTACCAAAGATCTTCGATGCGTTACGAAAGTCCATGAGTTTGGACGCGAGGGTGCGTTTGCGAACCATGTTGTCTCTTTGCTAGCTGCTAGAGATGAGACCCAGGTGGTAATTGTGGATGCGCCGGGACAGTTCGACACAAGAGGAGATGAGATCGACATCGCCACACCAGCAGCCTGCCACAAGCTTGCACGAGGATGCAGGATCCGAGCGCGACATGGCACTTCGTCCGAGCCGGTAAGCACCCGATTTAAACTTCAAGCCGTCAAGCCGCGAGCCCTAAGACACTGAGCTTTTGCAATCGATGAAGTGCTGCATACTTGAACTTGGTTAGTCCCGAATTGATTCCATCATGTGCCTAGACGTCCCAGCTTGCTGTCCGTGTCGCAGGATGATGCGCTTTGTCATTCTGATCAACTGCGTAACCTTCCAGTCTGAAAGAGCTCACATTCTTCGGCAGATGGCCGCTGCAATTCGTGAAGTTCTTCCAGACTATCCGAAGCAGCCTGCCTGAAGTAAGGCAGCGAGTGTGGGCCACAAGAACATGTAGCACTATCTAGCTCGCTCTTGTAGGCACGCCGTTCCTAGAGCTCCCTGCTCAGTCTTAGACTCTTGCACGGCTCGTTCTTTGATGCGATGCTAACCTACAGAGCGCCTTTCGAGCTTGGCGAAGAAATGCCTGAACTTCTGAAGACTGTAACCTGCCTCCCGTACCAAAGCCCTCATCCAGGAAGCATCGCGGCATGGTTTCCTTCTTTTTCACCAAGGTGGAGGCCAAACCAGTCCGATTGAAAGAACAGGGCCGGAAAAGCGAGCTGTGCCACCTTGCCAGTGGGGACAGTACCAGTAGATTACTACTGAGCTGCGCAAAAGTGGGGAACCGAGTACAGACTTGTGGCTTTGCGTACCGGTGACTCGTCTTGCACTGAGCAGGCACTTCCAAACCTCCGCCAGCTTGGTGTGGAGGCGACGACAGCGGAGGCGAAATTGGATCGTGCCCGCGAGGAGGTGTATTCGTGGCTTAGGGAATGTTTCAGTGACACGGACCCCAACGATGATGCTAAGCAGCAAAGACGGTCAAGTGGCTACTAAAGCTGCCCTGCCTCAGCAGTTCCGACATCCAGTAGGCGCAGGTGCAGGTTGAATGGTACTGAATGTGCTGGGCAGCAGGCCAAGTCACATGCCCGAAGTCCAGAACAAACTGGTGATGCCCGGCTGCTGACATCAAGTTCCTGTTGCCTTTGCTCAGGAATGCCTCGACACAATCAGCTTGATGTTGCAGAGTGTCGAGAAGTACAAGGGAGGGCACCTTACAAGACGCCTCGTCGACGTGTACCATCCAGATTGGACATCCAGTGATTCTCTGGTCAATGCCACAGAGATCTTCCACCCGCCGAGATATGCTTTGAGCAAGGGGCCCAGTAAACCCACACTACCGCGGCCTCACCAGGACACTATGATGAGTAAATCCAGCTTAGGCCGAGACCATGAGGGGGTGGAGCCCGCGCAGGTGGTCGGCTACGTGCTGACATCAAAAAGCAAGGCCAGCATATCGCCCTCTCCAAAGAAAACAACCTTTAGAATCGGAGGGTGCTTTATGTACGCCACGACAAAAAGGACTCAGTGCAAGCTCTCACACTCGACCCAAGACTGAACACCTCCGGGTTCGTGCTGTCGAGATGAGGTTTAGTAGTTCAGGGTTCATGGCAAACCCCTAATTTAAGTCTAAGCCCGGAGGTGAAGATCGAGCGCATGCTTTCATTTGCGCGAGATGGGCTTCGAGTGAAGCTGATGGGTGGAGATTGTGAGGACCTCGAAGCCATCCGCGCCTTTGCTCCATCTTCGAAGGTTTGGATTGCAGGGCCTTTTGGGGTTTTTGAGTTCAGGGTTCGTGGGCGGAGTAGGTTCGTGGTCATGCGACTGGGTTTGAGCTTATACTCCATATCCAAAGAAAGCACCGAAGCAGCGATGCTCTGCCCCCACCACATGCAACCTGGGCCGTGGCTGCTCTGCCTGCTGTCATCGAGGCAGTATTTGGAGGAATGTGGGGCTCATGGCGACCTATTTGGGCACGCTTGGTGCAGCCGCCTGGACAGAATTACGGGCAGAGGAAGCACTGCATTGAGCTGCGATCGCGAAGGAGCCGAATCTCCAGTAGATGAGAACAGGAAGTACTTTGAAGCCCGCCAGACCCGAAGGTGAAGGCAACCCGGGACGAAATGGAGGAGCTCCTCCAGCGACAGGTGGAGACTCTGCAGTTGCTCGCCTTGGAGTAGTATCGATCCGATTTGGGGTGCAGACTCGCAGATCGGTTTACGGCTACAGCTGTGAGAGACTTCTCGCGCGTAGATTAAACGACCGTGCACTTGACTGATCTCCATCTCCCAGAACTTCTCAGGCAAGAGGTCAGCCAAATGCTGCGACGTGCGGAAACTCGGCCGGAGAAGTCGGCCACGGCCTGTAAACCCTAAACCCTAAACTCTAAACCCTAAACCCTAAACCCATGTTGGGGAAGTCTCGGTCTGATCCTGAGGAGAGTCAATCGGAGGCCTTTGGCAAGGACTGGGCCAAGCAGGTCTGGCAGCTTGTCGAGAGTTTAGCTTTGCAGCCACCTGCACAGGCAATGTGCAGGTATTCAAGGCATGACTTCGCGCGGCTTTCGCTGACAGACTGATGCAACTGCAAGCAAGATCTTTTGAAGGCTCCCTGCAGTCCGCTGTGATGTCGTAGGTTTTAGAAGACTCGCGGGTCACGGTCTGCTGAGGTGCAAAATCAACTTCCTGGATGGGATCTACATGTTGGAAGCATCAGGCCGACCGTGCTCGCGCTCTGCACATCCCGGATGCACAACAGGGATTCTCATGGTGACGGGATGTGACGGGTGTTTCGCTTGGAGAAGTTGTAACGTTTAGAATCTAGAGCATAGCTCCACACATCAAGATCAACGATGCAGGTGAGGGTGCCCTCAACCCAGCTCACAGCCTCCGTGCCGACCTGGACAGCTTCTTGGCAGACGCTTAGGCAGACGGGAGCTGGCCGTAAACCCATGATGTCTGGCGAGGCCCGTGCCGTAAATGCCTGAGAGAGTCAGAGTCTCATGTGTAGAAGTGTGAAGTTGGAACACAAAGCGGTGGACATTGTATCAGTCCCAAAAGCTTAGCTCACAGGCAGCAAAGCGAGCGCCAGCCAGAAACCTGAAGGCCCAAATGCCCTCCACTTGGAGAGAATCTGCAATCTGAGGCTTGCTGCAGTCCTCCTCCAATGCGCTGGACAAGCTCCTAGCCAGCGAAGGCAAGCTCACAGTCTCGACTGTAGGATGAGAGTGTTCACGCATGCAGGATGATGTTTGTGTTGACTGCTGCTGCTTCTGATGAGGTTCTTCATCGAACAGTATAGTGGGAAGGTATCTAGCATGGGTATGAGTCTATGTAGCAGACTATCACAGTACGACAGCATCATGAGCAACCTCTCTAGGACGCTTGCTCCGGACCTCTTCAGAACAACTCACTATCTGTGATTCAGCTTTAGCTTCGGGGTTCCGTGGCCCTATCCAAAACCATAGTTAAGCCCTCAGTTGAAGAATTGAGGCTTGTGACAGCTGCTGTGTCTTCCAAGCACTGGCGGGCCCATAAGCGGTTGCGCTTGCTGGAAACTTTAAACCTTGCAGGACCCTTCCACTCGAGCCCGAAACCCTCATCCAGAGACTCGAAGGCTTACACCCTAGCGAAGGGTCCGACATTCACAGCCCATGGCTCGGAGGCATACCCTGCGCAGCAGATCTCCACCGCTGCGTTGCAAAGATCCTCACCTGGGCAGAGATGTTTCCGGATCGAGGCAGGTGAGGGCTTGGGCTTTCAGGGCTCAGGTTATGGCTTTGTCTCTATCGTGAACACCTCGATGTTTGTACAGAGCCCAGCTGTCCGGCAAGACAGGAAAGGAAGTCGTAAATATCAGCAAAGCTTTGAAGAGTTTAGGTGTGTGCCCAAATCCAAGGGCTGTTTCAGACACGAGCACGCAAATGGCTTCACAAAACTCTGGCCTTCTATTGCCAGCTGTTATCAGCAAGGTTTTCAGCGAGGACAAAATTTCTCCTTCCGTAGCCATCTCAGAAGCATCATTCCTACGACTAACAGTCGAAGCTATCTCTCAGGTCAGGAAGCGCAGGGACTGCTTCAGAGCTACATCAACAAGGTGGGTGACAAGCAGCTCCATGAGGATATGATTGTTTGTCGGCGTTTCAGGAAGAGTTGCAGGGCACAGGGCTCTCAATCGTTTGGAGGTAGTCGGACTCTTAACAGCCTTGCGTCTCGCTGATATGTGTTTGTCGTTGTGTACTTTTCGCAGTTCTTTGACTCCGGTTGCGGCCCTGAAGTCTATTTCCTGACACAAGCCCGGTTGCAGGCTGTGGAAGCCACGTCATCGCAGACCGGAACTTTCTCAGACCAGCTGGCCCTTCTTGCGCGCCTGGAGAGCATCTGCTCTGCGACCTTGGAAGGGGAGATGCTGGGAGACGCCAGCAAAGCCGCCGAAGCCATGACGGGGCTCGAGGCTTCAGTGACCGCCCACTTCGAACAGGTCTTCCAAGCTGGCATGGAGTCCATCGACGCCACGGTGTCCGCGGTCTTGGAAGCACCCAGGTCCACCCTTGCAAGCAAGGAAACTTTGGCGCCCTTCAGCGTCCTCATCTCTCAGCTCACCGAGCCTGGGTTGAAGGGTTTAATATAGAGGCTTAGATAGAGAATTACGCTAATAGTGAACTGCTTGAGGACTTTCAGGACTTTCGGGTTCCTTATGATACTTATATTCGAACGTACCTATGCGTGTTGTAATTACTAAAGCCCAGGCCCTATATGTGGAACACTGATGTTTTTTTGGCTTTTGGCTTTAGGCTCTCAGGGTTTTGCGGGGTTTGGGATTTTTCGGAAGGCCTTGGAGAAACCCATGGAACCTCTCAGCAACTCAGCAGCCGAACAACATGTGTCAGCGTCCCAAACCTACAGGAACCCGAGAATGGCTCAGGACTGCAAGCGCAGCATGGAGGGCGCTGAGCTGGCAGCCCCGAAGACTCACACCAGACTTGCCGAGTCTCCGGCAGCAGTTGTTTGAAGGGCGGTCTGACAATGTACATGAACCTCGACAGAAACAGTAACTTCCTTTGATAGCTACAGGAGTGGACAAGCCGATCATGCAGTCTGCTGGAGCAGCAGCTGCCGAAGCTGCAGACGCAGGCAGCAACAATTTTCTGAGTTCGGAACTGCTACGGTGTGGAGGGTGAAGGGGCTCGCTCAGTGCATACATGCTCATCACACCCTCCGTCAGGCTCAAGACCTGATGAGTACCGCAGGAAAGACTACTTCATCTCCGTGCATCGTCACTTGTCTCGGGCAGACCTGGCATGTGCATGTTGGCTGAAGATGTTTCTCATGCTGTCATGGTCATTACAGCGCAGCAAACTGCAGTATGAGGATGCGGATGCAGCCACTGGCACTTGCATCCAGAATCTCTGTGAGACCATCCATCTCGTGACCGAGACTTTGCCGCCGAAGAACAGGGAGATCTTTCGGAAGCGCTTCGCACATCCGGCAGCTGAGATTCAATGTATCATTGCAGTGTATCTCTGTGTGTGTGGGTCTCTAACCCTACAGGCCCTACGTAAGCTCCCAAATTTTCCGTAACAAGGCTGGGGGTCCATTTTCCATACAGAGCGCATGACCGCTAACACCTCCGAGGTGCATGCGGATGTGACTGTCGGCGTCAAGCAGATGCTTTCTACGGCGAGGGCATTGTGCGAACAAGTGGTGCCGGCCCTGGGATCTAGCAGAGCCGGCAAATGTAGGATAAGAGTTAGGATGTTGTAGTTCTCCATGTGGCTTCATGGCCCATTGGCCAGCTTTACCTCCGACTTCACCTTTAGCAGCCCACAGTCAGCGGAGGTCAGCAGTTGCGCACCACCCACACTGTCGAGCTTGCGAGCGTTGCTTGTCAATCGTTGTAGCCAGTTGTGGCTCTTTGTCTTCAGGTTGCGCATGGCATGGACTGCTGCCAGACAAAAACATGGACCACCAACAACAACAACTGATGGGTTATTTAGCCGTCGACCCTCCGACCGCCAACCAAAAGCCCTAAACTAAACCTGTAACGCCTGCACCCTTCAACCCTTGAAGCCGTAAGATCCTGAGCCCTGTAACCCTGAGAACGCTGTCAGCTAAGGCTCATTCAGTCGCTACAGCATTATGACTGGCTGGATGATGTCACAAAGACGGATGACAGGCTCATGGCAGCCTTGCAAGACCTCGAGCCGCTGAGCAGAGGAAAGGGGATGTGGTACCGTTTAGGTCCATTATGTTGAAGAAGTAGAAGCCGTATTTTCTAGCCCTTGGATCTGCAATGCTCCAGAGCGTTTCGATGTTGAACTGTCCAGAGCAGCAGAGCTGGACGATCCGGTTCGTTGACTTCCAGCCTTTCAGATTGCTGCCACTGGACGGTAGTTCCAGCATTGCTGGTGTTGGCGGACGGTTGATTCTCCACAGTTTGTACACACAGCTGAGGGATCGCATGACGAAGCACTCGAGCGACTCGCGGAAGCGCCTGGAAAAGTCGCTGCTCTGCTTTTTGAGCGCCTCCCCTGCAGAGCGGGTTGTGCCGCAGCTTGGCCTCGAGAAGTATGGGTTGACATTGCCGATGTAACCCCACGCGCGACAGGCACGTGCGGTCTGCGTGCATGCGAGGCAGATTCGGAAGACTTGGGAGGATTTCCGGAAGTTGGGCGGCTTGGGGTCAGTGTACCCTGCGCTGGAGAATGACCAGCAAAGGTGCCTCGAAGATGCGTGGTTTGCATTGCTTGCCGACCTAAATCTATCTAACTCTAATTTTGAGGGCTGTCTGCGCATGACATCCAAGGAGCTTGGGCACACGTCGGCCGAATGGGTGTCAGGCAGGATCCACAACTCCTGAATTGGTTAAGCCTGCGCATCGGCATGTTTGACGTTACACAACACAGATCCAGCGCAGGTGTTGTCGAGTCTTTTTCTGGCAAGTTGGAAGACCTCGACGGTCTGATTGTGCAAGAGGTAGACCAGGCGCATCGGAATTTCCCCATGCCTTTGGCGTTTGTGAGGGCATGTTCGTTCGGCCGCTTGTCTTTCCCCTTGGGTTGGGGTACACCAGCGAGATTCACCGGCAGTTGCAGGTGCTCCATGCTTCTGAGCAGCTGTGTTCAATTTGTTTGGATGCTATGCCTGGACTGCAAGATGCAGATGAACGAGTCATGGCCCGTCTTGATAGGGTAGGAGTTCATTGGAGCACACCTCTCGTGCATTAGGTTCGAGGCATGAGGTGAGTCAGCACGCGGGTGCGGGCAAGATTTCGAGATTAGGGAAGTCTCAACTCCTCTCGCGTCCATGTTCTTTGCTGCCTGGAGCTCAATGCCACTCTCGAAGCACTTGAGGACTTGCCAAGATCTTGTCGGAGCTGAAGCAGCAGATTATAGCCTCTGTGGCTGCTGCTGGCAACTATGAGGAAGCTTGTTTGCTGACAGAGGTGTAGCTGAGTCGCGCCCGTCGGATAAGAATGTAGGTAGCTTTGAAGCAATTTAAACTTGTTCCTCTGCAAGTTGTCCCAATCCTCAGCCTGGCGAGGAGAAAGACCGAGTCCTTTCTATGATGCAAGACTGGCGGGCCAGGGAGTTCTGGACGTTCTTGCAACACCTACCGGAGGTTTCGCAGCTCGAGACGCAAGTGCGGGACAATCTTCAAGAGGTCATGGACGATTTGCAGAGGAAGGTTCTAGATCCCCTGCAGCGCCAGGCTGCTGAAGAATCCCTAGCAACGCTTCAGCGGCTCACAAAGCTGGAGAACACGGCCTTCACACAGGCGAAGCAGGCTCTGATACGGCTGCAAGACTTGGTTGGAGCGCGGAACGTCGAGGATGATAAAGAAATCCAGTGGCACATCGAGAACTCCGACTTCAAGGGCCTCAAGAAGCTGTTGGGCCCTGCACCCGAAACAGACGCAGCAGGTTCGGAGGCTGATCTCTTTCGACAAAGGTTGGAACGCATCGTTGACTGTGTCAAGAAACACCTTGGATTGGCCAAGAGCTCGTTGGATGCTCCAGAAACCTTGGCAGAAGAGCTAGCAAAGTTGAGGGCCGCGAACGAAGACATCGGTGACTTGCTTGAGATCCACCAGGACAGCCGCGGCCTTTCTTCAGACATGTATCAGTTAAATCGACAAGCACATCGGTGCCCGACAGGAGTTGCACTTGTCAAAGGAGTTGCAAGAGTTGCAGCAGCAAGCCGCGGAGCGGGCCCAGAAGCTGATTGATCAGCTGAAGGCACTGGCACAGAAGTGCTGTCTGTTGTTCCCTAAGTTCAGTCACATCAGCTCAGACGTGGGTGAGTGTCGAGAATTGTGGCTGCCTCCCGTCAGCTGCTTGAGGGATGATCTTCAGAGGTGTTGTCGACAAACTCGGACATGTCAACCGATCTGTTTATGGTTTTCTTGTGGATTACTTAGTCATCGGTCATGAACGGTCACCGGCAGTACCCATGAGGCAGGGAAGCTTGCCTTAGTTTCTCCTAAATTCGTATCTTCGCGGTTCAACCTTTGATGATCGCGGAGGGCATGAGCCTGCAGGCTTACATCGAGCAGAAGAGCTATGGGCTGTGCCTGGAGCGGTCGAAGGAGCTGAAGCATGTGTTTCGGAACTGGGAGGCCTCCCAAATCTTGACACGCACCCAGCAGCACGAAGCCGAGATGACCATCGACAAGGCGGGGAGCTGCGACCCTAAGCCGTGCCATTTCGTTCGTTCTCTGTCGACCACACGTTGAGTTTAACGAGGCAGCAAAGTGCCTGGAGAAAGTCGGAGTGCTCATTGACGAGTTTCTCGAAAGCCTGAAAGCTGCAGCCGCTGGAACGCACTAGGGCCGAAGACATGTCATATGAGCAGGCAGCGTCTGCTTAGTCCACCATGTTGTGTTGCTTTGCAGACCGTCCGGGTAGCACGGACATCTGAAGTCGTTTCAGGTTCAAGCCGCTTCTGCAAACTTCTCGTGCCACACGTTCCGTTGCCAAGTCGTGCTTCACTTTGAACATTGAACACCAAGCCATGCATAGGCATTTGAGTGAGTGCCAGGCAGCCACCCCGAACCCTCTCAGGAAAGTCTATCACAGGCACCCCGAGAGCTTGTTGGGAAGGCCTAGAGCGAGCCCTGTAGAACCAGAAGCCGGAACCCGTAAAGTATTATAGTATCCCTTTGAGATCCCATGCAGCCCAGGATCCAGAGAAGCCGCCATCATCGGACTTGGCATTGGAGCTGAGGCAGCTGCAGAAGGGAGGTTGCCGAGATGTGAATGATCCTCGGCCTCGGAACGCGCAAGGTCAATTATGAGCTAATGGTTCTGGGTATAGTTGTTGGGTTACGAATTTATGGGGCCCATGTTTGTTGGGTTACAAATTTATGGGGCCCATGTTTTGAACTCGGGGGGCTGCGAGCACTGGCCTCCGACTGGGTGAAGCGTGTTGCCACTGATATCCTTCCTGTTCTCATGCCATCAATTTTCCTTCCATTCCAGCTAGACCCGTCGCACAAGCCACGAACAAATTTATATAGTTTTATTGAAAACGATCAATAGCTTGGTAATTTGTCCACTTGGGTCTGTTCAGTTGAACATGTTTCTCTCAAGCTTTGTGCTGTGCTGGACTCCCAGGCAGCGTACGAGAGTGCCGTGCAGCGTATCAACAAGGAGCTGGACACCTTCCTGATGGACATGTCTACACAAGTAAAGACATCAAGCGCCTTTCGAACTGGTGCCCCGGCTATGCCACAGTGCACTTTTCCGCACATGTTGTGAGATGAATCCGGGACCACAGTAGCCATAGCAGAGGTGTCACGCATGGCCATCGTGGTTGAGAAAATGGGCATGCAAGGGACACCCCCGTGGACTCAGGTCTCGAAGTTTTGGGTTTGCTCATGAAGCTCTTAGACGATGGCCTCGGTGAGCACGTTCCGCAACAACATTCCCGAGTTCAGGGGGAGCTCACGAAGCTAGATGAGGAGGTGTGTCGAGAGTTGGCGAAGGGTCTGCTTTTTGCAGTCTTATTTAGGGGAAGCCGAGCATGGTTCCTGTCATGGTTCGACGATATACTCACTCTGATGTGCACGAGTTTGCCTGCCAAGGCGAAGAAACACAACGACGAAATGCAGAGTAAGATCAGCTCCGAAGAAAGGATTCGGGGTTTCGGTATGCACTTGGACTCGCTCTCGAAGCAGCCTGGGATTCTCCAGCGCGGATACGACTACTTTTTCGGTAGAACGGTGACTTACTGGATCGACTGCCAAAGGGAGTACCGGCACAAACGTGCCTGGCTGCAAGGGGAAGTTGTAGCAATCACCTCGGACGCCGTGAAGGAGCTGAAAGCTGAGAACTACGTGTTGCTTGGCAAGTACTTGGCGATGACCTTCTACATCAGAGACCATTTGGGCAATCACTTGGAACACAGCACTATGTTCCGAATGGAAGAACTCGCGCGCGCTTCGCGAGAGTACCTTGATGCAAAGCTGCAGCATCTTCTGTCACTCTTAAAGGGACACGATGCGAGCAGTGCGATTGCCCAACTGGGAAGCTTGCTTGCAATGTGACAATCTTAGCCATTCTGCGAAATTCACATGCAGAGGAAGCTTGCATCTCTGTTTGTCCAATCGGGGTTCATGGCACGCGCAGTTTGTCGCAGTGGAAGCATCGGCTAAGTATCGCTACAGAGCAGCACACCCAAGCTGGGCCTACGTTCTTTGCGTGTACCCTTGAGCCACAAATTATTTTGCAAGTGAAGTTTTGCTCCGGTTATGTTACGAGCACCATCGATGACGGAATGTAAATTGCTGAGGCCCATTCCTGGACTTTGTTCGCTACGTTCCCGTGAAGTTTGAGAGATCCCCTTTCCATGATGCTCTCTACGAGTTTGCAAGCGGACAGCTGAAGATACTCCAGAAGGCCGTGAGTGATGTCGCTGTGAGCGATGCCTTGAAGGTGGTGCAAGACTTGCAATCACTGGGTCTGATTTTACTCACGCGATTCGTCATCTACAAGCAGGAGATATCATCCGATCTGCTGCTTGACTCAGCACGTCGCGAGAGCTGGGAAAGACTTGTGCAGCTTCAGGAGCACACTTTCGGAGGAAGCCTGGCCTGCAGAGGCATGCACTTCGCAGTCTTGGACGTACTGCCTTCTGTGGTAGCAGGACAGCTGCAGCTGCCGTCTTCTGGTGAGATCAACAGGGCCTGTCGCACGAAGGCCATGGAGTTCCACGAAGACAAGTGCTATCAGGTTGACAGACGGAAGCGCCGAAGTGTATCTCCAGAAGAAGCCACTCGCATGATGCAAGCGGTAAATGCAGCAAAGGAGTTCCTCTCATGCGAGTCCAATCTCGAGGGTTTCAAGAACGATGTGCAGCGCCTTTTTCTGCGTGAGCTACAGCCATTCAAAGACCCACGACTGTCTCACGTGCAGATGCTCATCGATGAGCAAAGGTATGGCGTCCTGAACAAGATCCTTCTTGACCTTAGTAACGTGGACAAGCAGCTCGCTAGCAGAATGGGCATACCCCTCGAGAGCATGTGGGCGGGAATAAAGAAGCTCTTGATTCAAGATGTGCGGAAAACACAAGAATCAGCGCGTGCAAACTGGGAAGGAGGACTATTTCGAGAACTTCATGAGGATCTGACGAAGTTGAGCGTTGCCAAACGTGAGCTTGCGCCGCATCCGGATATTGTTCCGAACAGCATCATTGAGGAAGCTCGGGCAAAAGTCGAAAAGAACATCAAGGATGTAGGCCTCGCGGCACTAGCCTGCCTAGAGAGGCATTCTTCGCTTGCCTCGGCAATGACACAGATCTTCCAGTTTGGATCGCATCTCATCCGCCTCGCTCACATCTTTACCCACCTGAAGGACTTCAAGGTACAGGCAGAGACAGAGGTGACTCATGCTTTGAATGTTTGCCAAGACAAGCACTGGGGTGCCAACTTCCTGATCGAACTGGGCATGAAGCTAAGTTTGGGTAAAGTTGGAGACCCCAAGACTGATGCAACCGTGGCAAGAATCATTGCGAGCGAGTTCCCGCACTTCGAAAGCGTTCGCACAGCCGTCTTCAACCGCGAGACTCGTGTCACACAGAGAGATGTCGGTGAGACGCTGAAGGTTTCTTGACTGCGTTTGTGAGACCTGCACTTGCACCAATCCCTACGCTCCCACCTCTTTGCATGCTTCCTTGCAATGTTCTTCTCAACAGGAGCGCTACGTACGTTGTAAGCGCATGTTGAGACATGATGACAAAGACAGCTTAGGACATTTGTTCTGTGGATGTTGGCACAGACGGTCGCCGGAAAGACAGACCGGTGCCTATCAAGAAGCTCCGCGAGGGGTTCGAGGAATACAGCGCCGCGTTCGATACTCATTTGAAGGATTGGATTGCCGGTGATCTCACGCCAGACCAGCTTGCAAAAACCATCATTGAACGTGCAGCCCGACTGCGTTCAAGCAGGCATGGCATCTGGTCACCCCAGAGCAAGAGCGAGTTTCCACAACTGCTTGCGGCAATCTTCGTCCTGTATGCCATCCTCAAATCGGGTGATGCATACGAGCGCATGGATGATGCGGCTACGCGGAGGTCCATTCGCGATGTGGACAACGTTGAGTCTGCAACTCTGCAGGCTCAGGTGGGGCTTCGAGAATTTGTTGCTGCTTTGTGCTTGCCGATATGGACATTTTATAGTTTGTATAGTCATTCTCGGTTGTTGGACCTCGTCAGGTTGCGTGGTTAACTTTTGCCCCGTGTCAGCTGCTGCAGCGGTTCTAGTGATACGTAGGTGCATGACTCTACATGCCTACTACTTGCCGGTGTTCATCCATTGGTTTTGATGCTAGTGCTAGTTACGATTGGATCTATTCGCAGCGCGTGTTTATTCTGTACTGTGGCATTTGCTGTGGCTCTGGCTGCTGTTGTTGTTGCTGTTGCAGAAGAGAAGTGTGGCTACAGTTTAAGTTTAAGCCGTAGTTCAGTCGTTACTTGCAGTTCTTGTGCCTTCGGTCTTGGTTGGCTTACGTGAGTCTGGCTGCATCTCTAGCTTCGGTTACTGACGTACTCTACTGCTGCATGTCTTTCATAGAATCTGCTCCACACTGCGTTTTCGTATGGCTGGGACATGAGCTCCGGATGCATGCAATGCTTGCCTGCAGCCGAGACGATGCGTGATCTTGCAATACTCTGGGCCTAGTATAGGTATGGGTGGTTGGTAGCTGATGCGAGTATGCACATAAAGATAAATGCATGCATGGAGGTCAACAGATAAACGGAGTCGACGAACATCGTCAGCTGTGGTTCCTGCGGGCCCAGAAACCGCAAAGCCGGTAGTAGCCTGCCAGCTGAACAATATATGTACAACGCTTGTCCTCGTGCAGAGGATGTGCTCATCAAGCCCCACCCGGTTCAGATCCTCACGCTTTTGTGCCTCACCGGCTACGCCGCGGAGATTCAGGATCTCGAGAATCACGTCATGCAGATCCGCACGGGCGAGGGCAAGTCAATTGCCCTTGGTGGTGGAGCGGCTCTTCTTGCTTTGCTCGGACACCGTGTACGATGCGTCTGCTATTCGAAGTACCTGAGCGACAGAGATTTCAAGGCATTCCGTGCCTTGTTTGAGGCGCTGGCTGTGCAACATCGAATCGTCTACAGCGTGATTACATCATACAGCCGCTTGCCAAAAATCAAGCTGTTGCTTGTTTTCCAGCACCAAATCAGCTTGCAGACTGGCGAAGTGTGCTGCTTAGGAGCCACATGCAGTACGTAAACCTAAGAATACATATCTCGAAGTGCGAGGTGAAGATCTCGCAGAGCGCAAGGGCGACATTCGCAAACTGACGCTCGATCTTGTCAAGACGGGAACGTTGACAGCGTCAGCGCAGAGAGCCAATCAGGCCTCCAAGGCTTCCGGGCTGTAATGATTAGTACTGTTCTACTTCTGCTTGTTATTATTATCAATGTTAGTAGTACAAGTTATCATTGATACCATGATTGTTATGGCTATTCGGATTATTAGGATTAGGCTCGACGATTATTTGGATGTTTTCTGCTGCAGTTATATATCATTAATTTGCCACGACTTCGATGAGCAGGGCGTTTGCTCCCACTCGTGCAAAACGCAAGTAATGCTGCATGCACAGAGCAATAATGAGCGCTTATTCTCCGCAGTCTCATTGCAGCAATACCCGCGTCTCCTTGCGACTTCCCAAACAGCTTGGTGTTGATTGCAGATGCTGAGGTGGTGGATGTTGAGTTTGCCGGGCTGTTAGCATCCTTCAGAGTCTTGGTCTCCTCCTTTGTAGGAATGAAACCACGAACTGTTGTGGATGATGACCCGCCGGAAAATTCACAGCCCCTAGCAACCTTGGCAATTCATTCACAACCCAACTGTTGTTGCTGGTCTTTCTTTGGTCGTTGCAGCAACATATCGTCCAGGGGGGGAGCATAAAAGGTCGGCTTGTGCCTGTTGTGTTGTTGTGTCCCGGTCAAAGGCCAAGACCCATGGCGAGAAGAGCTTGGCAGCAACGGCAACGGAAGCTGAGAAGGAGCCGTCGGCGAAGCTTGGTGCACACGATGCGGTCGATGTTGCGATGATGGCCCAGATCGAGTCCATGTCAGGCGCACGTGAAACCTGCGCAGCAGATGCTGAAGAAGTTTTGCTTGTTGATGAAGTCGATGTGCTCTTCGGCAATGATTTCTACGGCAGGACACACAACCAGGTTGCACTCCTTGTGTCGATCGCAGCAGAAGACCTGCTACGTGAGGTCTGGAAGTACCGCGAGCATGTTGCGCAGTTGAAGGCAGTCATCCAGTCTGTAAAGAGCTCACGTGCTTTTGAACTACTCTTACAAGAACTACCAGCTTTCGCAGACATCGTGCACGACGAGACGGAGAGAATGTGCGCAGACTTGGCAGATCATATGCAGAACGACAGGGACTATATTTTCTGCAATGGCAAGGTTTGCTACAAGGTGATGGACGGGATCGCTTCCGATGTCGTGAAGGGCTACAAAACAGCTTTCGCCTATCTGCAGGAGGCCACCAAGCATTCATTGCACAACGAAGACGAGGTCCTTCGGAATGCCCTTTCTTTGCGTATTCCATGCGGTCGATTTTCGTATGCAGCCTTGGGATCTGCAAAGATCCTGGGTGTATCTGGGACAGTGCATGGATTGACGCAGTACCAATGGCAGGTGATGCAGGGCTTTGGCGTCAGCAGCTACACACTGGTTCCGTCGGTGTACGGCCGCAACAACTTTGCTTTCCTAAATCAGGACCACGGCACCCCCATCACAGTCACCACAGATTTATTTCATGATGTTGCGACGCAGGCGCGAGTCAGTCCTTTGTTCCGTTTTGCAACCATGCTAATCAGCGGCAAACCTACCTGCTTCTGCTTGCCTTGACTGTGGTGCTTGGTTGTTCTACTCAGTCGCCGGGTAGGAGGCAGCTTCATTGAGTTCATCCGTTAATTAACGTAGAGCATATGTACAGAGCCTTCTGCCCCTGTGCAGGTAAACAGGATAATACAGCAAGGCCGTGCAGTCATCGTCTTCTTCAGAGATGCGCATCAGGTGGAGGACTTTCAACAATCCCCGTACTATGGCAAGATCCAGAATAAGACGCTTGGGCGAAAGTGGTGACCTCTGCCAACTAACAGCTTGCCTGCGTACTAGATTCTGGTTACGAAATGTGCCGTACTCCCGATACTTCCCGATGAATACGACAAGACACAGTTTCATTGAGGAACGTGTTGCTCCCAAGCCTGCTGGACAAGGACAAGGATTGGATTATCCGGAAGGCGGCAACGGCCGGGCAAGTTACGTTTGCCGCTGCCCTGGCTATCCTTGATTCCTTCGCTTGGGTTCAATTGTTTACCAGCTGTGCTGGGTAGCTCAGGCGCCGGCAATCTTCGGCCGTGGAACGGACTTCTGCTGCTTCCTTGCGGCACGTGCTTAGGGGACGCCTCGTTATCATGTGCATCGGGATACGGAGCTGCGGAGTGGTGTTCTTGTAGCAAAAAGGTTTCATTGAGACACGAATCATTCTGCGTGCCGGCCTTCTTTAATTGAGGTTACGATGAAGAGCTCGACAAGGCTTGACTCTTGCAGCGCCGCCAAGCGTACAGTGAAGTGCACGTATTGATGTATTATCCGAAGCAGTCCTTCCGCATGCAAGGGAGACGTCGCTTAGCATTGAGGGTGATCTAATTTAGTAGGCGAAGGCCATCATGCAAAGAGATTGCAGGAGGGAGGAGTCCACGTCATCCAGGCCTTCTTCTCCCTAGACCAGAGTGAGGAGATCCAGATTCAGGGTCGCACCGCACGGCAGGGAAAGACGGGCACATATTCTCTCATCCTAGCCGAGAGTGAACTCCACGAGTTGGGGTTGCAACCACGGGATGTGCAAGCAATGCAAGCTCAAGTCCTGTATGACACGCTATGCAAGACGCGAGAAGCAGTGCAACTGCAAGCCAGCAGGGAAGTGGAGAAGAGATTGCAGGATGCGACCACCTTGGATCGGCAATCGCATGATTACTTCGATGCACTCCTTCGAGGAGACCCACGTGGAGCGGGAGTTCAGCTTCGAGCCCTTTACAAGTCGCTGGCATCGACACATGCAGGCAGCGGCTACCACATCGTGTGCTGCTACGATGAGTCAGGCTCCATGCAACACCATGGCAAGTGGCAAGATCTTGTGCAAGCACATCAGGCTTGCATGAACAGCTTGCAGCATTCATTTGGGCAAGTTTCCATCATCCAGTTTGACAACTACGCTCGGACAGTGCTCAGCCGGGCTACACCGGCGCAGGCAGAGGCCCAAGCTCTCCGCATGAATGGTGGCGGAACAAAGTTCGAGCCAGCCTTGGCAGCGGCGGTCCAACAGATGCGTGCCGGAGATCGCCGATTCACTCCGGTGCTACTCTTCATGTCGGATGGGAACAACGATGATGGTCCCTGCACAGACAGCATTCAAGCCATGGGCCAGGAATTCCCAAACCTGATCTTCCACGCCGTCATCTTCGGCCAGCGCGACTCGCAGAGACTCCGTGGAATGGTGGATGCAGCAAAGAACGGGCACTTCCACGTCTCCGTGGACGGCATTCAGCTTGAGCAGACCTTCAAGTCCATCGCAAGCAGCCTCGAGTACACTGGTCGATGAAGTTCGCTGATCTTTGCAGCTAAAGAGGTTTCCACCACAAGTGTTGAGCACCTCGTCTTGCGTGCCAGGCCATCCAACATTCTCTTAGACTCATCATATATTATTCCAGGGAGCAGACACCCCGATCAGAGAATAAGGCCTCGGCACTCACATTTTAGTTTGTGATGTTCGGACAGGGTCAATCCCGGGGACGTGTTATGAGTCCGGACGCATCCAAATTGTTTCGTCTCATGCTGCCAGTATTGCATCCATGGCGTACAGAGACATGGTGAACGCAATGCGCAGCACATGAAAGAGATGCAGCGTTCAAGAACGACTATCACGTGCATGGAAATACTGCTCCGTGCAGTGATCACCTGAGCTACGCAGCATGTTCTTCTTGATTGGACCTCTGCGTGTTCGAAGCCCCGTCTTCCTCCACACGTTTTGTCTGGTAGGCCTGCCCTTGGCCGCGTAAGTGAACGTTGCGGACGTCCTGGGAGAGGTGCGAAAGCCGGGCCTATGTGAGGATCCGTCGTTCGACTCGGCTCTGTCTGGGTTAAGTCCTGTGAGGCGTGAGTGAGTTTCACTTCGGTTCGAAGCCGTCAGGGAATTCAGGAAGTGCTCAGAAAAATGAGCCATCATTATGCAGAACAAACTTGCGCAGTAAGGTCTTGTCAGTGTTGTCCCTACCACATCACTGGGGCTTCGTATCGCATGTGCTGTAGAAGTGCAGCAGCATCGAGATAGGACGGTGCATGATGGGGGCACACTCCAAACTACTCATGCCGAGATTCTTCCGGTTTGCATGTTTGGTGTCTCAGAAAGGCAGAAGCTTGTGGACCTCGAAGTCGGTGGAGGTGGCTCGGGGAGATCTGAGCAATCGAGGCTAGCTCCAGGTGTGATTTATCCTTGAGGCTTGCGAGCGAAGGCTGTAGCAAGTGTAGTTGGTGTAGTTAGTGTAGGCGTTTAGCAGAGCAGTCGTAGTTTCATGTGGTTCGGATCTACGTGCACTGATGCTGTGCTTTCAGATGTAGTCGATGTTTTTGGTACATCCTGCGGACACGCTCCTCTTCACCTGGGCAGATTATGCATGCCTTAGTCCAAGCAACATCCCAGGTCAAGTTGACCTCTAGAGACGAAGCCAAGTTGCTTCCAAGCCGGTTCTCATGTCATCCTCTTCATCTGCCGGAAAGGTCCGCAACTCCACTTCTTCAACCTTCCGTGAGCTGTTCCGAGACAGTTTGACTGGTGGACTTGCCTGCAAGGGACCCTTTCTGCATTTAGCTACCATGGTCGTTGTATCATTATCCAAACATCTTGGTGGTTCGTCGTAACGCATTCTCTCCCAGTCCAGGAGTCCAGACATAGCCCATGGCCAATGCTATGCAACGGAAAAACATCGAGCTCCTGTCATCGTGGTTGAGGGCCCAGCTTTTGTTGAAGTGGTTGCTCGCTACCCTCCATGCATGTCCATCTGATGTCTTTCTGCTTCTGGGCAATGTAGAAGTGTGGGACGTGTTGGGCAATTGCAAGGTTTAACATATGTGAGACTCGTGGCTTCGGCCGATACTGTGCTTTAACAATTTGGGGGTTTCCGAAAATAGGGGACCCTAATATAGTACCCTAAATGATAGGATCCCTATTATAAGGACCCCAAAATAAGATACCCCTAATTTTCTGAAACTCCCATTTATAACTGTGCACATTGCAACGGGGTCTTATGCATGTTTTTTTTTTTAGCTTTGTTCATACTGGGTTGATGCAACGACACGCGGACCTTGCCTGTCCATGGACTGCTGAGTCGGCATTAAGAGGGTCCTCGCGACATTCGGCGGCATAGTCCCTCCAAATCAAAACCCGAAAAAGCGAAAGAAGAGGGTATCGAAGGGCCTCGTTGAATCTAGGAATTCTCATTACGCGGTTGTTGTGCATGCCGGACAGGACTTTGGTCTGTTACAGGCAGGGACATGGGGCCCGGCATCGTCTGTTTTTGTGCGTCGGGACTTTTACCACCTTGGCGCTGTGATGTGTCAACCTGGTGCACCGACATCAATCCAATTCCAAACCAAATGCTGTAAATGCTACATTTCGAGGGTGGCTTGCTCTTCTTGTGTTCGGTAGAGGCATGAGCAACATGGTCGTGTGTGCAGGTAGCCAGTGTGTGTGAACCTCAAAGCCACAATTTCGCGAAGCTCTGCTGCGTTGTCGAAGACATGAGGCCCGAGGATGATCTTCATGCTAGGAGCTAGTCACAAGGAGGGCCCAATCTTCCGCATTCAAGCAGCTGTCGCCTAGTCCTCCTAGGTTAACATGTCTCCTCTTCCAGTACGCTTCAACGACTTAACAACATAGCAAGCAACAGAAACAATCCTGAACTATTCAGAATCCATAATTATTCTATGCTATACACCACGACCTACCACTACCCAAGCTCTCAGTGAGGCCCCGAGTCCCTGAAACATTGCCAAAGATGCCCCGGCACCCAACGGCCGGGGCAAATGTCGTCCTCCGAAGCTCGGATGCCCCGGGACCCGGATGCAGGCGGGGCCCGGAGGAGTTGGTGTTTAGGAACCCAGAAAGGACATAAACATAAGCATTTTATAGGGATATCCCTACCTTCTTGTGCTTCATTATAAGGGGGGTTTATATGGGATATCCCTATCCTAATTTTTGCTTATGTGCTTTTGGGGGGCCCTAGGTTTTCTTGAGGCTTGAAGCTTCGGGAAGTGCAACTTGGGATCTCGCAGGTCTTTTCGGGAAGCGTAGGTTGGGATAGAGCTATGGTCTAGTATGGGGTTTTAATTTTGGTGTTCTAGAGGGTCATGAGAGTGGGGTCTGACGGCTTGGGAAGGCATTCTGATTTTTGCTGGTTTGGGTTGGGGGGCCCTGTTCGCTCGCGACAGAGCTCGATACGACTTGATGCAATACTGTCTCACGTGAGATGGGAGAGCGAGGGTGTGTGCGTCGTTATGTGGTCTTCCCACAAAAGACAACCGTGCTGACTTCTAGTGGTGGCATGCAGGCCAACGTATCATCCAAAAATCCTGAGTAGGTTTACAGGCGGGTCTGCTGGTATGTATGTCTGTATTAACCTCCGTGTGTATACATATATATATATATGTATGTATGTATGTATATATATATATATACACATACAGACATGTATGTATGTGCTTATACATATATAGGTGTGTGTATATATATATATACATACATTTATGACCGGACATATATGTATGCATGCATGCATGCATGCATGCATGTATGCATGTATGTATGTATGTATGTATGTATGTATACACATGTTACCGTGTAATCAAAACTGATATGATGACCCTAAACCCGAGACCCTAATTCAAAAAGCCCTGCGCAACTACAGACCCTGTGAACGCACCCCACCCTTAAAAGAACCCTTTCAGGAACCTTATAAAGCGTAAAACCCAAATCCTTTCAGCCCTAGAATCACACATCCTGAGCCGCAAACCCAAAATTATAAGCTTTAAAATCCGAGACCCCGAGCTCCAAACCCCAAATTAACAACTCTAAACTCCGAAACCCTCAACCCCAAATTTAAAAAACTCTAAACTCCGAAACCCTAAACCCCTAAATTTCTCCGTGGTTCGCCCCTCATTGAAAGCCAGGCACCGGCGAAGCGCCGGACCCGGAGACCTGCCCGGCCACATCTTCCTCCGGGTGCTTCCCTGCGACTGCTGTTTTGGGTTTTGGGATTAGGGCTTTGGGTTTAGGGTTTAGGGTTTAGGGTTAGGGTTGATAGGGCAGTTTAGGAGTTTGGGGTTTTGGGCTTCTGCGAGTCTGGGAGGGGACGATTTCTCTATCGGGTTTGTCCGGTGTTTTTCAAGGTAAAGTTGGGGGTTTTGGGTTTAGGGCTCAGGATTTTGGATCTTCGGGTTCAGGACGGTCTCAGGTTTCATGAACACGTTTTCTGAGGTTTGAAGATCCATGCATGTAGGATTTAGGTGTGCTTTAGGCGTCGGGTTTAAGGCTTGCGGCTTAGAGGTTTTGGAACTCACCGTCGCTGCTTATGTTGTTGGGTGTAAGGTCAATGGCTTACAGCATTTAGTCCATAAGGCCCTCCTCAATGCGGGTGGTTTGGGGTTCGGTGCTGCATATGCTGCGCTGTCAGGTGCTCCTCGTCCGTGGAGGAGAAAGATTCTCGGCTGCCGGAGGCGTAGTTCCGTTAAGTTGGGTTTGAGGATTTTGGGGAGCTGAGGTTAGTTTGTAGGGAGTTTGGGATGTAGGTCGAGGCCCCAGCGCCCAAAGTCCTAAACCCCAGTAAGCGCCAAACCCCCAAGCGACCCAAACCCCAGATGGCTTATCTAAGCCACTTATAAGGACTAAACCCTCACCAAAGTCAAGCCTGCCCTGAACTCTGAATTCCTGATCCGCCTGATCCCCTGAATGCTAAACAGTAAACTTTTTTCACAGCGTGAACCACAACCCAAGGGCCTTTCGCCGAAGCCCGCTGAACCCTCACTAAACGAGCCCAAACCCCCTTTCACTCAAGGCGCACTCCCTGTGAAACCGTTGTAAGCCCCTTGGAAGGCCCTAGAACACCCACAAAACCCCGATAACTCCTGTAGTGCCATCTTCAACCCCACAGGGCCTTACTATTCAACCCCATAAGGCAACCCTAAACCCTAAACCCTAAACCCTGAACCCTAAGCCCTAAACCCTGAACCCTAAACCCTGAACCCTAAACCCTAAACCCTAAACCCTGAAACCTAAACCCTAAGCCCCAAACCCTAAGC